CTGTAAAAGTTGTGACATGTGCAATTTGAAACCCACCCATGGACATAGCATTTTTTTAGTGTGGGTTTAACCTTAATAGATACTATTAAGATAGTGGACCTTTTTTTTTCAAGAATACATAGAACTGACTTAATAAGAAATAGATGTAACTTCAAATTTAAAAGAACTGTACTTACACTTTAGGGATGACCTGGTATGGCCTGGTGGTTAGGATGCTCAACTCACAATCTATGGGTCGTGGATTCAAATCCCTATCATAACAAACATGCTCGCTCTTTCAGTCATGGGGGCATCATTATGTGACATTCAATCCTACTATTCATTGGTAAAATAATAGTCCCAAGATTTGGCAGTGGGTGGTGTTGACTAGATGTCTTCCCTCTATTCTATCACTTCTAAATTAGGGACGGCTAGTGCAGATAACCCTCATGTAGCTTTAAACGAAATTCAAAACATATGTAAAGAATTCCAGAATAAAAGTGACTGCACATTCTTTCGTTGTATGATGGTTGTATTATGAAGAGTTTTAAAGCTTCAATTTAGACCCCATTTAAACTATATCAGTTATTAATTTTTAATACATATGTGTTTTAAAAATAACAATAAGTTTTGAAAAATATAAAGGTTATTACTTCTTATTGTTTCAGTGTCCAGCTGAATCCGGAACTGAACAATGTTGTACAGAAATTTGCTGAACATTATCATGATGCTTGGGCAAACAGAAAGGTGCAGATGGTGCTTCATACCTCTTCCTTTTAGTACATTTTAATTATATTAGGATGTTTTGAAATTTCATTTATAAATATGTTTCAGTTTTTAGATACACATGTTTGTATGGTGGAGTATATATATATATATGTGTATTTATTTATGTCACAGCAGATACTTTTGTAACCAAAATAAACTAAGTTATATTATTGACAAGACAGCTATAGTGTATTTTCAATTTCAGTTTGAAAATGGGTGGAGTTATGGTGATTACTGGAACTATGAAAGAAAAATGCATCCTAGATTGAAACCATACAATCTTCTGGCTGAATGGGTAAGTGATTTGGTGGTTTCTAGTACAACATTTTACAGAAGTGTTCATATATAGAAATGTAATTATATCTTCAGACTGTCTGAATTATATGTTTATCTGTGTTAACAATAAAAAAATGATATCTTTGATACTTAATGATATCAGGGAAAAATAATTCAGGAATTTTGAATTTGTTTTGCTTTATAAACAAAGTTTGTGTAAGGAACATTTGAAGCCCATCCCTAACTGAGTTTAATGCAGGCTATAATAAAAATATTTATTTGCCCTGACTTCCATTTTACTTCTCAACTAGCTCTAATGATGTAAAGATTAGTTACGATGAATGAGTCTGTCCCTCAACAGATCAGCATTAAGTTTAAAACTTACAATGCTAAAATCCAGAATTTGATTCCTTGTAGTTGGCAGATAGCCTATTGTGTAGCTTTGAGCCAAAACAAATGAATGAGTCCTTTATTTAGATAGTCTTTTGCTGCTTCTGAAAATGCCTAACCCAGAACAAGTTTATGAAAACATTAAATTCTTTAAAACTTCCTGAGTGATAGTACTTATTGAATGATGTCACCTTAACACTCCTTATTAGTTCCTGGCTTCCCATTTATTGCCTCACTGCAGTGAGGTAAAACTTTCACTATTAAAAAATGAATGCATATACCATGTTAGCTTATTCATAAGTAAATTGTCTCTGAAAGTGACAATGTTCAGAAGAAAATAAGTTTGCTGCACACATATTGTGTATAGCTCAAGTAAATGTAAGCTGTGTTTTTATATTTGGACATCTTAGGCTTTTGCATCTTAAAACCATGTATTAGCTAAGAACCAACTGTCTCTAATTACATGCATGAGTTTTTTTCTCTGTTCATTAATGCAGTTGTTAAGTTATAGTTGGTTCTATCCTCTTGATTCTTTAAATACAAAAATCAAGGCTTTAGTCTAGAGAAACAACATGTTGTAAACCAGTGTTCCTTCTAAGCTGCATGGCTGCACAACAGATAGTCAAGTGCCATACACTTAATTATTCCAGTCATGCACATTCTCAGTAATGGTGAGGAGTCTCAACACGTTGATGGTCTTAATGACCCTGGCAGTCAATAGGCCTAAAGCTCAAATAACCAACTGGTAGCATTGCAAAGCAGCCTAATGATCCAATAGGGTCAATGGTCTAAAAAAAAACAAAAAATAACTGGTAGCACACATCCACATATTGCCTTGATACTTGTGCACATAAAATAAATTCATTCCACACATGGATTGTTGTGAACTCGTGGCAGCTACTTGTTTTTACTTAATTATGCTCAGGTTATTACTGATTTTTATGATCTCCCTAATGATTGTTCTGTTTTTTTGTTTTCATTGCCTCATGCACTCAAATACTTGGAGTTTACAGTAGAATTGAGTAAGGAATAAAAAATTAGAACAAATGTCAACATTTATTCAATAAGATGAAATCTAACTTAATCTTGGCCAGTAGCAATTTCCAGGCCATTGGACTTGTGTCTTACCATTTATTTCTGATCCAATATGAATGGTCTTTTATTTTTATTTTTAGAAACTTGCTAAGTCAAAGTTAGCTGTTATAATACTTATCACCCATCTCTATAGCCCTTGGATAATAAGAATGATTAGACAAGTTGGACATATATATACTTTTCTCTATACTTAAACAATACCAGTAAAAAACTTTCAGAAGTAGAGCATCTATCAGGGTAATGGAGCCAAATGTTTGTAGTTATTATAATTGATATTTAAAACAAACTTTTGTCTGTTTTTTTCATAGTTTTTTTGTTTAAAAATGTTTTTTGTAATGATATTTATCATAAGGTTCCATTGAATGATTTTACTTACTTAAATGAAGTTTTAGAATTTTATGAACTAGAAGAAGAGACTGCTAAAATCAGTTCTATTATGGTTATATAATTTAAAAGTAGAAAATTCTATAAACCTGTTTAAAACTTCTTTCTATCTCTTTTTATTATTATTAAGGAAAAAGAACGTTATAAAGAACCAATAAGAGAGTCTTTGAAAGCTTTAATTGCAATTGGCTGGAAGCTGGAGTTGGGAGACAGAGGAAAAGGTACCATGTCCCACACTTCTTCTCATGTGGTAAGTACAGGATGGTTCGTACAAATCTTTTAGTTATTTTAAGCAACCACTGTAAAGTAGTTATTGGTGTCACAGAAAAAAAGTGTAATTTTACCCCCAACAGTCCTTCATTGAGTAGTGTAACATACACTCTGCATCTGGCTGCATCTTCCATTACCAGGTACTGTTGCCCAGTTATGGTACCCAACTACAAATAACTTCATATTATATTAACTGTCTTTTTTAATTACAGATAGTCTTTCTATATAAATAAATATATTTCAAATATTTAATAGGTCTAGTGTGGATTTTAGTTTATATTCTATTTTCCTACTCTCATTATACATTAAAGACTAAAAATGAAAATTATAGTAAATATGAAATTGTTCATAGTTTTGCTACGTAATCAATGTATGCCATGAGATGGTGTGTTACTCTAACAGTAAACAGTCATTGGAGTAATTGGTTGGATCCAGAGTGTGCATCGGACTCTGCGATAGTCCTCTAAGTGTTAAAGTATTCATTGAGTATATGGCTGCTTATCTGGAATACATGAAAAAGTTTCCCAAAACTTGGAGATCACAATTCAATCAGCTTTTAACTGCACAAAATTTGGCTGTTAAGATAATGATCTTATTAAACATGAAACACAGAACTTTGGTTAATACTGATAAATTTTGTTATTCATACATTTTAATCTTTTTATTTAAATTAAATAACATTTAACCCAACACACACATAACTTTCTTTTTTTAATTTTTCTCCTTTCCAAGTGAATTGTCGACTTTGAAACAGTTGGACAGAAAGTTAATTATTTTATGTATTCTGCTTTTATGTATTTAAATTGTAAAAAAGGTATTTTCAAATTGGGTGTAAGTTCTAAAATGTATGTTTATTTTCATTGCTACCTGAAGAGGATGGTATTTTATTATAAGGTAAAAAATAAAAATGTTTCAGTATGTATGTATATGTGTCTGTGTATGTGACATTGTATACATGTTTATATTTTTTCTGTAGTGGTTGTAGGTTGTGATTGTTTGTCCTTTCCTGGTTTTAAGGGCTTTAATTGATTGTTCATGTTTGACTCCAACTCTGTGGTTGTTGGTAATGTAAACAAAGCAGAAATGATCTAAACATCCTAAAGTTGCTCATTACAATTTTCACCTTTTTTAGGATAACCATAATCTTGTGCTTATTCAATAAGTCTTCTTTTTTTTTTCAGTCAGGTGATTCTCCACATAACTACAACCCCCAACCAGTAGACATGTCCAATCTAACGCTAAGCAGAGATATGCAAGTGAGTGTTTAAATTTTGATAGTGACCACGTATACTTTTTTATATTTCTAGTTGTATTTAGCAAAAAGTGGTTGTGTTATATAGAATTTTTGTAAAAGTGTATTTAAATATTATAGATAAAACACTGCTATTTGATATCAAGAATTGTGCTATGTAATTTCCAAAAACAAAAACATCAGGTAACTATACGTAGTGTATTTGGAATATTTAAACGTATATCTTGTATTCTCTTTGAAACAGTTCTTCTTTCCACGTTCAGAACTATAAAAACTTGTGTTTATTACAGTAGAAATCACTAGACATGAATTGTTTTTCGTTATTGTCCCCATTAGAACATGTCTGAAAGATTAGCAGAAAATGCTCATGATTTGTGGGCCAAGAAGATGAAAGAAGAACTTGGTAAGTGGAACTGGTTGCCATTGCTTTAAGTTGTATAATCTGTAAGTTCTCTTGTATCATTTTATGTATTTATTGTTCATGTTTCAGAATTTTTGTTTGTTCCTTGGTGTCATATTTGTAATATATTTTACAATGCTTGTGGTTAGATGGATGGACAGGAGGGTTTAAAGGTAGGCTTCACTTACACCTTTTATTTGTACAATATAAATGTTTTACAGTTTTATATAATTGTTTCCATGCCAAGTAATGGCTGTGGAGAGCAAGAATTGATACACAGTACATCATGAACATTAAGCTTACCCCTTCTAATTTTGGTTTTCTTGTAATCTGAATAACATCTCCACTCTTAATAGACTTTACCTTGTTCACAGTTTGATATTATAAAACCTCTTGCTCTATTTGGCAAAAGATCCAAGTGTGTCTTAAATGTTTTTTATTATTTTACCAAGAAGATATGTTTTTACTTCATAGTCCTTCTAAAATGTCAGTGTTTTGATGGGGCTGACAACATATCCTTATTCAAATTGATATAGTACAGTTTAATATGGTATTCAGTTATGATATATATATATTTTTTTATGTATCAAAGTATCAAGATATGTTTAAATTTATTTAATAATTGTGTCTTTCTTAAAGAAATTTTTAACTTTCAGGTGGAGGTCTTCATCCTCAAATGGTTCCTTATGACTTACTGACAGATAGAGAGAAAAGGAAGAACAGAGAACGCTCTCAAGAGCTTCTGAAATATCTGCAGTATGAAGGATTTCAGGTTTATGGGTATGTAGCTATGCTTACCTTGAACTTCTTTGACCCCCCCCTAAATAAATAAACTGAGCTATTCATCCAAAAATTCGAGATAAGGAATCAGGTAGCTTGTAAGTAATAAGACCTGAAGTTTCATACTTTTTTATCACATTATATTTTCAATGATGAAACAAAGTTTGTACATGTAGCTTAGAGAAATATATAATAATTTAAATGACAAACACAAGTGACATTTAAAATGATTTGTTATGCATAAAAGAATTAAATAATTGTGTGATTTCTAAAAGAGTCATTACAGGGATATTTTGTAGTATGATGATCATACTCCTGTTAAAACATCTAGAATATAAAACAGTTAGTCATTACAGCTATATATTTTAGTAAGATTATCATATCTTTATCGAAATACCTATATATACCAAAATGTTTCAATAAGATGTTCATAAGATGTGTTTTAAAACACATAGGACTGTTATCTGACATTTCTATTAAAACTCATATGACATAAACTGACATTTCAGCATGGTGATTATATTTTATTAAAACACACCGGGCCAGGTCCCTGACGTTTCAATATGGTGATTATATTTCTGTTAAATCATGTTGGACAGTTCCCTGACATTTCAGTATGATGATCATATTTCTCTTAAAACACATAGAACCTTTGCCTGACATTAATATCATGATTATATCTATATTAAAAGACCTAGGATATTTACCATGACATTTTAGTAGGATTATCATATTTCTGTTAAAACACGTATGATATTACCTGACACTTCAGCATGTTGATTATATCAGTATTAAAACACCTAGGATATTTACCATGACATTTCTGTAGGATTATAAAAGTTGATGACACTAAACCAGTTTTATTCTCGGTTGATTGCATGATATGCTTATTAGCACGATTTTTAACATTATAGTTACATGATTTTATGTTAATGTTTCTGAAATACCTGCACAGGCTTTGTAATTACATGTGCTGTTTTTTATGGTTTGTTTACTTTTTTTTACAATATCGATTTTGAATTCATTGGGCTTTTTTTCTGTTGCTAGTTTTGTATCTCTGGCATCATATTATTGTATAGTGCTACCATCAGCATCAACTGTTACATCATTCGTTTTCTTATGCTTTGCTCAGATTTTATTTTGCTTGACTTAAAGTTATTGTTTTTGTTTCTAATGGAATGTCATTCAACTTCTCAACTTTTCCAGTATTAGTTAATCATTTTCTTGTTCTTCACCAGATCCCTACGGTCACTTAAAGTTTCCTTCAGTTTTCAAGCTACATATCTGATAATGGAGATAAAAATACCAAAAAAATTCTAATAAACTTAGTTTCAAACCAATTTTATCAAATATAGTTAAAACTGCATAGGCAACGAAAATATGAAAATTAAATAATAAATTGAACAATTGTCAAGTTTTTTTATATTTTCATTCAAAGAAGGATGATGTTTCGAGCTATCACTCTTCCACAGGTCTTATAACTTACAATGGTTGTAAGCTATATGATCTGACAAAGAGTACTAGCTCAAAATTGTCATCCTTCCTCAAATAACTATAAAAAACTTGCCACTTGTTCAACCTATTATCTAATTTTTATATCAAATAGAATCTTTGGCTAAAAGTAGAATATGTTTAATGAATCTTTTTCTACCTAGTCAGATATTACATCTTAATCAGAGCAGCTGCTGATTTTAATATGCAAGTGTGGGATCATTAGTGATTATATATATTCAACTACAGACAAGATCTCCATCTTAATCAACAATAATAACTCAGTTTAATACATGAGTAAATTTATCTGGCTACTGTGGGATCACACAAAATTGTGTTAAAAAATTATCACTTGTTTTATTGATTTAATATTTAAAAGATTCGTAGTTTTTTTATGTAATATTTTAATTGTTGCTTTATCATATGGATATTAGTTATTATTTTTTATATACACAAAAGGTTTTTAAACTTTAACTTGAAATCTATTTATATGTGGTATGGTGATTTTGAAATTTATATATATATACGTTCTGCTTGAAAATTTTTTGTGCATTCTGGGTTTTAGAATCTTGCATGTAGAAAAGTCAGTCATCCATTTTTTTTCTCTTACTGCTTTTCCACCTTGTATATCTCCATGTGGTTTTGTATCGTTCTGTTTTCTGCTAAAATCTCCTGCATGTTTTACTGACTACCATGAACTTGTGGAAATCTTCCTGATGGCATGACTTGGCTTGATTGACTGTGCTGCACATGAATCATACCAATGTCAGGCTACGTCAGAAAGCTGAAGATGCTCATGATGTTCAAAATAAACCCCATGATTATAGTGTGAAGAAAAGACATGGAACAGAGTCTGAACAAACAACATCATCAACAGCTGGAGAGAGAAGATTTGCATCCTCTTTATTGGAAAAGCTTTTGCAGTACCTTGATGTAGCAGCTATTAACATGAAGGTGCTGAAACCTAGTGCTAACTACAGCCGACGTAGCAGCTTCAAAACATCCACAAGGGATGTGAAGTTTTTCAGTAAGGTGAGCTCTCTACTGTTTATCTAATTTCTATTTTTAAAACACTACTAGCTTTTAGCCTTCATGCATTCTAGCATCAATTCCTGAATAATGAGTAACATTGATTTACAGGGTAAACATTTTAGCTAGTACTAGATATTCTTTTTTAACTAATCAGACACTGACTACCACACTTGTATTCCATATAAGTGTTTCTTGTGGTGATTTTTAAGTCTAAATTAATTAGGTTTTTAAACCAACTGTTATTTCATAGTTGGTAAATCTCATCATTTTTTTATATTTTATGAGTTTACAACTGAACTGTATTTTTGCAAACAAAGATTACTGTATAACTGAAACGTATTTTCTACTCATAGAAAGTACAAGCTAAAATCCCATCAACAGTGTAAGTTTAACAACAATCATATATTTCAAAGTAATAACTTGAACATAAATTTTTATCTCAAAATTTTAAAATTATAACAAAGCTTCTTCATAAACAATATGTGCAGTTTGCTTTCCATCTACCAACAAATAAAAATTTCGAGATGATCCCACCCTTGGACACCCTACATCTCATTGACCATGAGAAAAGCATGGTCATTTGAGAAACAGTCCAGCAACTTTCAATCTTTGACCTTGAAACTCTTTAGAATATTCAACATTGTCTAAAGTGTCAACCTGCCAAGATTGTTTGAGATTTATTCAATAGGCTGGGAGTAATTAACCAACAGGATTTACAAAATAGAAATAGGGTTAAGTTCAATTTTAACCCCCTTGGGACATTCCCCATAGTTCATAGTGTTTACATACAAACTTTGGTTGAGATTGGCTCAATAGGCTCAGAGAAGTTAAGGTGCAAACAAACACACATTTCTGCTCTCTCTCTCTCTCTCTCTCT